TCAGCGTGAATTAGAGGAGCGGGCTCCCTTCCCGAAGGTGTTCTTGAAATATTCCAGTTTCTAGCAATCATGCTCCTACGATATAAGGAGTTCCCTTGAGTCCAGCAATAAAACCTCTCCTCCTCCCTGCTCCTTGACACACACACATGTTGTTTTTAGGAACCGACTTTGAATCAACAGCTCCGTCAGACCTTAAGAACTAGAAGCATATGTAAAAAGCCGATGTTGCGCTCCCACGCAAGGGAACCCAGCTGTGAAGTCAAAAAACTCTAAAGCGGCAGCACAATAAGAGATGTTCCAGTTTGGGAAACTTTCTGGCCAATATCTATGGCAACCTGAAGGGGAAAGGAAGAGATTTCCAGTCAAGAAATCACCTATTAATCTTTCTTTACGCTTCTTTCCTTTCCAGCTTCCTACTGGCCTCTGTCACTCAAGAGACAAAGAACCAAACTATCTTTTTTGAAAGGTTTTCTTTCAGAAGAGTTAACAGAACAGTGAAACCTCTGGCAAGTTGTCACCCATGTCTACTGGGTGCTAGTTAAGCACAAATCCTCCATCCCTGTCTGCTCAAAAAGCAACACAGTGAATGCCTCAAGAGCATCCAGAGTATGTTATTCCAATTCCATCTTTGGGGATTTTCTCTCTTTGTGCTTAGGAAGCGGACTGTGTTTAATGTCTATTCTCTTGCTGCTGCGTAGCTACTTACATAAGGGTTTTTACATCCCTACCCCCCTTTCTCTTTCTTTTTGCTGAATCTCACTAGGTAAAACAACACCATAAACATGTGAAAGCCATTGCTAACGTTCTTGAGATCCTCTTATGCTTTGAACTGCTTTAATCACCGAAGATAGCAATCCTTCAGTACCTTCGAGGCAAATATCTGCTTGTTTTGATAAACCGGAGCGACATCGTGACCATTTCCCTATGCTTCTCCGGTACCTCTCAACGCAAACATTGCTGCTCGGTGGACAGTCAAATCCATGCCTAAGGGTTGTTTTCTTAAAGAACTTGAGTGCGGTACAAAGGACCGAGCTGCAGGCATCTGGAAGGGGGAAACTGCAGCCCACCGTGGGCAGCCTGACCTTGCCAGGGGGCTATCTTCCCATTGTTGCTAATGTGTCTTGCAGAGCAATGCAGAATGTACAAATGAGCTCAAGAACATTCCTACCCTCCTCTTGCAGGGAGCACTGCTGTAGTCTTTATACAGTGTGGGACTTCCACTTCTCTATGGAAAACAATTTTGTCAGCTCAGTTTAGCCTCTAAAAGAAGCTTGAGTACCTTGAAAGACAACAGAAACTGATACCAAGAAAATAAGGATATATATCTAAATTCTACCTCTCAAGCTGAAGATGTGTTATACACAGTTTTTCTTTATTTGGTGGTTTCAAATGCTCTTCCTCCAACTTAACAACCTTCTCCAGCAATGAAATATGAAGAGGTGATGATTTCCTCCAGATTAGGAGGACATTAACAATTAAGTGCTAATGTGAACACTGTTACAGCAATGCAATTATAACTGTATTCCATGAAGAGCTATAGGAAATAATTACTCTTATTCTCAAGTGATAGTTCTGAGAGAATGAGATTCCCACTCTTAAATTCGTTAGATGGGCCGCTCTCATTTCCTAGCCTAACACAGAACCAGACTTTCTTTACAGGAACAGTATCTCCCATCTTTCATTACTGAAATGTGCATCCGCCTTCACTTTTCTCCGATAACACCAAGCACTGAGCTCAAGACCACGTTCTGAGGATAGGCATCCAGCTCCGGGTGCAATATCCTCCTCTCGCACGCCGTCCAGCTCTTCCCAGAGCCTCCGGAGGCCGAGCTCGTGCCGAAGGGAGAGCCCCGAGGCTGGTCCCGCAAAGGGTGACGCCATCCCTGCCAGGCGCGGGCAGGCGCTCCCAGCCGGGAAAGCCCCACGGGCGGCGCAGCAAGAGCAGCACCCAGCCGCGCGTGCGGCCCCCGGCCCGCCGTCACTGTCTGAGCAGCCCCAGAAAGCAGCGGCCTCGCCGTCTCTCACACGGGCTGTTCGCTGAATCACTGGGAAGGGAAGAGAGGAGTCTCCCTTTCCCTCCCAAGAACTGGAAAGAAAAAGAAGGAAAAAGAAATGCTGAGTAGATCCTTTGTGCAAAGCAGAACACAGGGAAACCCCAACGTGGGCATAATGGCACCGCAGGCCTCTCTAACTGCAGAAAAGACCTTGGAAGGCTGCACTCTGCCCTGGCTTTGAGAAGCTATCACTCCACACTCTCCATATTAAACGCAGAGGTCCTGCTTGGCTGCAACGAGTACAGAAGCTTGCCAAAAGGACATTAGCACGAGGAATGCGTCGGGCAACAGGGGAGCGCCCCCACGGATGCTGGGACCTGCCAGCCCCTGTAACTGTAGCCTCCTGGCCTGTCATGGTGCTGTTAATTAGAAACATCTGCAGCACGGAGAGAGATCAAGTCGAGGCAGTAGCGGCAGCTTATTTGCACAAGAAAGGTACAAGTCATGTGGGAGGTAAAAAGGGTAGAGCACAAACAGATACAGATCAGTTACATGAGCCCGGTGAGTTATCTGAGCTACATGCTCTCCCTGAAATAAAACTACCTGGATAATGTAAATGCAGGGCCGATGAAAAGAGTTAAACCGCAATGTCGGCAAACTGATTTACTCAGATCTTAACAGTGAGAAGAAATCTTGAAAAACATGCAAAATGCCATTCATTTGGTGTAGGCTGCTCCACGTGTACCCTTGCAAAATCAGCTACGTAGCCTCCACCTTGTATTTTTAATAAGGGCTTTGGGACAAGCTAAAAATACTGATTTGTTTAATCACAGGTCATGCTGCTACAGTTTACAGCAGGCAAATCATTTTAACTGTGAATCCCTCCCTCCCAAAACCAGATACACTTTGTGGAAAATCCACTGCAGGTGAACTGGGATTTTTATTTCTCCCATTCCAAAAGCCTCGATCTGTTTTCAGCCTACTCAACACATCACACTACAACATGGGGTGGAATGACCAAATAAATAATACACACACAACAGAGCTGAAGAAATTCAAATGCTCAAAAAAAAACTTTATGGCTAGAAGAGAACTTGGTAGAGGCAAGCATGTGCACAAACACAACACAGAGGTATTTGGATAGCTCTGTCTTGGCACAACAGCATCCTCCTATATCTCCATTAAAAATAAAGGGTTCTTCCTCCTTCCCTCTCCTGCCCAACACTTCCACTCTCCACATGCAGTCTCCACCTTGCAGGCACAAAGATACTGCAGTTCCTACCCATGCCGCTTACCCCTCACACTGATCCTTTCTCTTACAAACCCAACTTCTTCTGCTCAACCACTTGAAGCTTAGAAAGGTTTGTATTATCACATTGTCAAGGAGAGATTTATAATTGTGGCACTTAAACAACTAAT